CCCCCCCCCCCCTCCAGCCACCGAGCCGGTCCCCATTTCCTCGGGTGCCCTGCCCCGGTGCAGATGGTCCGAGCGGATGCCATCCACCTCTCCGCAGGCGTGGGTAGGGCGGGGGCGAGGTCGGGCCGGGCCCAGCCCCAGCAAGCGGCTCGTAGGACATCGGCAACGTCGACCACCGCGCTGCCGGGCGGGGGTGTCTGTGCGTGGGTGCGCACTGGTGGCGAACCACGAGGCGAGCGCGGTGCCTATCACGTGAGCACCCCTCCGTGGTCCGCTAGACAAGTCCGGTTACTCTTGGCTGATTGCGCGAGGAGGGCGCCGTGCCCCTGCCCGGAGGGGAGGCGGCGCGCCCTGTGCGCCGGACAGCGCGGCTCCGATGGAAGTCTCGGGGGTTTGCCTCGGGCGAGGGGGGCCCGAGGCTCCCTTCACGGTGCGTCTCCTTCCGCCCGGCGCCTGCCTCGCGGTGGTCCGCGCCCCCGGCCTGCCTGGCCCGGCCTGGCTTGCCCCCGGGCGTGAGCGAGCATTTTCGTGGCCATCCGCGGGTTGGTCGTGTGTCGGGCGCGCGTGTGTGTGCAGGAGGCGTGTTCTTGCGTGGGGGCGTCCGGAAGTGTGTATATGCGCGGGTCGGTGCACGGGGAGCGGCGTGTCCGGGGTCCGAGGGGCAGATGCTGCCTCGCCTGGTCGGGCGCGCCCTGACCCCGGCCCCGCATTGCATCGGCTCCACGGCGTCGGCGCTCCCCTGGCATTTCTGCCAGCGGCGAGCCGAGGGGGGGCGCGGGGAGGCCCATCGGTCACCCCCCTCCCCCGCCGCGCGTTGGACCCCCTCTTCGCTCCTCCCTCCTCCCCTCCCCTTTCTCGTCCCTCTCCCCTTCGCGCCGCCCCCCTCCCCCTCCCTCCCTCCTCCTTTCCACACCCAGTCCGCTCTCCTGGTCCCCCTCCCGACCTTCGGCCGCCCCACATCTGCCAGCATGGCCTTCAACCAGCTTGTTTCTCGGTCGAACACCTTCGGCAGTTCCCACCAGAACTCCGCAGCCCCGAAGATGGTTCTCACCGAGTTGCCCAATCCCCCGAAGGATTCGATCTCCTCGTTGAGCTTCTCCACCGCCTCGAACACCCTGGCTGGCAGTTCGTGGGATGGGACCATCTCGGCCTGGAATATCCGGCCCAACCCCAACTATGTCTATGCACCGGGAAGCGAGCAGCCAACCAATGTGCCGGCTTTCATCGGTGAGACGGCCTTTACCGCTGGTCAGTCCGGGCAATCGCCCCCGCTGCTGACGTGTTCCTGGTGGCATGTGCGTTGTCCGGCGCCCTGTTTTTCTTTTTCCCCCATTGTTATTCTTGCCCCTCCCTCGGCCTCTGGCGGATTGCCAGCTTCTCCGGTTCGAACTGACAGCCCGCCCGTCACTCCTGTGTCCGCCGCGCACCTGTATGGGGATAGCACGAGCCGATGATCGTCACCGGCAGCGCCGACCACAAGGTGTCCCTTCACAACATTCAGACCAACCAGACCACCCAGTTGGGCATGGTGCGGCGTGCTCTCTCTCTCTCTCTCTCTCTCTCTCTCTCTCTCTCTCTCTCTCTCTTTCTCTTTCTCTACACACACATCGACACACGCACACACATGCATTCCCTTTACTTCCCCCCTCTTTGCTCTTCCTCTGCTCTCCCTCTACCATGTCCCCCTTTCTCTTTTACTCGACACACTCACGCTTCTTCCTCTCCTCCTTCCCTTCACTTGTCGCTTCCGTAGCACAATGCCCCGGTGTCTTGTAGCCGCGCCCTTTCCTTCCCCTCGCCCATGGTCGTCACCAGTAGCTGGGATAAGACCATCAAGGTGCGCTCCTTGCCTGTCCGATCACCGGCACCTGCCTTTTCTTGGGACCTTCTCCTGTGTCCGCCTCCGTCAGTCTCTCGCTCCTTGCATATCTCCTCACCACCTCCCCCCCCCCTTCCCCGCCCCCCCTCCCGCCCCTCGCCAACACCAGTACTGGGATGGCCGCTCGCCCGATGCCGTATCCGTTGTTCAAGTCCCCGAGCGTGTTTACCTGATGGACGTGCGGGACAACCTGCTGGCCGTGTCGCTGGCCAACCAGCAGATTCTGGTCTTCGACATGACCAAGTCCCCAAACACCCCGGCCTACGTCCTCAGCCCGACGGCCGACAATACCGACCCGAAGAATGTCCGCCCCGCGCCGATTAACCACTACGCCAACATCGGCGGCGTGGTCAACATGGACCTCGGCGCCCGGCGTCAACACTCGGCATTGGCCATCCTCCGCAACAACTGCCTCGCCTACGGGACCATCGAGGCCCGCGTGGCCATCCACTACCTGGACCCGGCGCAGCACAAGGCCAACGGCTTCACCTTCCGTTGCCACCGCGTGGAGCCCCCGAACTCCCCGGCCCAGATCTTCGCCGTCAACTCCATCTCCGTGCACCAGACCCACGGGACCTTCGTCACTTGCGGCTCCGATGGCACCTACGCCACTTGGGACAAGGACAGCAAGACGCGTCTCTACCGGTCGCAGGTCCACAACAGCCCCTTCCCCCCGATCACCGCTTCGGCCATCAATGCCCAGGGGAACATGCTGGCCTTTGCCGCCGGTGACGACTGGTCGCAAGGCTACGATCCGGCTCGCATGGCCCAGCCCGTGCGCGTCATCATCCACCACCTGATCGACTCGCAGGTTGTCCCGCGGAAGAAGCCCTAAAGGAGGAGCACGACGCAGCCCGGAGAGCGGGCATGCTGGTTGTCCCCTTCTTCTTTCTTTCCTGTCATCTGTCGCCGTGTCTGCTGCTGCGCGTGCGCGTGCGCGTGCGCGTGCGCGTGCGCGTGCGGGTGTGTATGTGCATGTGCGAGCGAGCGCCCTCGCATCCCCTGCTCCCCCCTCTCCGTGCCTTTTGCTCTCGCTTCTTGTCTGCTGTTTCTTCAGTCGTCGGGCCTGCACCGTCGACCCCCTCTCCCCCTCCTCCCTCTGCACATTCTCCTTTCCCTCTCCCCCTGTCTGCCCGACGAAAATAATACAAAACCCAATAGCATGTTCATTGCACTGCAGGCCGACGGCAAGTCAGATCTCGGCTTCTGTCGGCTGCGCGAATCCGCGCGAGCCCACTCGAGGCCTTGTCCCTCTGCCCGGTGAGGGGAAATGCCGATGAGCAGATGGAGGCCCTTGCATCGTCCTTTTTGCTCGACACCTGTTTCTCTCCCCCTTCGTCGGGGGCCCTGCTCCCCCCTCCCCCTTGTTACACATGAATGCGAGAGAGGAAGAGAGAGAGGGAGCATCGTCGCCTCGTGAGCGGTGGCACTTGGAGACGCGTTTCCCGCGCTTCACGGGAATGATCACGTCTTGTGGGGGCGTGATGAGCATCCACCATTGGCATACCCTTTGTTATGGTTGAGGCGCATCCCCGGCGCATACGGAATTTTGCCGGCGGGTGAAACATTTTCCCCGGTCGCCCGCAGGGGGAATGTCCCTCCCGGCAAAGGGTATGGTTTGAGCTATAAATTTCCCATCATCTGCTTCCGGACGGGCCATCTCGCGCACCCTTCCTTCCTCCGTGTCCCCCGCACCCTTGAGTCCTGTACAGGCTCGCCCCCCCCCCTCCCCCGTTTCTTTCCCTCCCTTTTGCGGGCAACCATCCGGTCTTCACGGATCGTTGTGGCTCCCTCTTCTTCCCCTCTTCGCTCCGTCCCTTTCCCACGCATCCCGCTCGCATTCAACCGGACGCCTTCTCCAATCGGCCCCCTTCCACTCTCTCTCTCTCTCTCCCTCTCTCCCCCCCCTCTTTCTTGCCTTCCCCCCTCCCGCTGGTTCCGTTCTTCGGAGAAGAAGAGACCCCACCCGCGGCGTGCGCTCTGACCCGCTCCCCGGTGTTGGTGCCGACAGGAAAGGAGCCCCCCCCCACCGTCTGGCGGCTCCCTGGCTGTGCCGTCCTGATCCCGCCACCTTTTCCCAGTTGTTGACCGTTGTCCTGGCCGGTCTGCCAAGATGGACAAGTTGGACCTGTTCGATCTCGACGAAACCGACGCGCCAGGCTATTTCGGCTCCCCCACCCACTACGCCCGCACTCCTGCCACTTCATCCAATCCCTCCTCCCTCGCTGGGCCCCCTTCCTCGGCCTCTTCCTCTTCCGCCTCTTCCTTTAGCCTCCTGGACTCGCTGCGCTCCTACGCCAACTTCGCCAAGCCGAGCACGCCGCTTCTGTCATCGCCCCCGTCGCCCGTCCAGCAGCAGGACCAGCATTCCCCGTCGCCACTACCGACGCCACCTCCGCCGGTTCCCGACACTCGCCCACCCTCCCCATCGCCCGCCAGCGAGGCAGCCCAGGAGCAACTCCACATCCCCTGCCCCTCGCCCTTGTCGCCCGACGGCGGCGAGTTTGAGCTTGACGTTCCGCACGCGGTTGTCATGCTACCGCGCATCCGTGCGGGCACCGGTCCCGGCGAGCTGTCCTCGACCTCCCTGCGCGATGATTTCCCCGCCGCCTCGACCCCTCCGGAGAACATCATCCCCGGGGGGTTCCCCTTCACCAGCCCGGGCTCCGGTCAGGCGGATGCCAGCCACCCGGCGCGGCCGCACGGCGTCCCGGCTTCGGGCGGCCCTCCTCCCGGGCCCCTCCTCGATCCGGAGCTCGGTTCCCAGCCGCCCCCCCATGCGGTTCCCCACCTCGGCATCCGGGACTGCCCTTCCGGCGTGGGCTTGGCAACCTACATCCCGGCCCATCCGGCTCTGCAGCCGGTCATGACCGATGTCCCGGCCGGCGACCGGCATTGCCCCCTGCTGCGCTATGTGCTGCTGGCTTCCTGGAGCCATGTCACCGGGCCGGTGACCGAGCGCGTATGGGTCCATGGAGGGCCGTTGCCGGAGGAAAACTTCCCCCCCGGGCCAGGGGTCTTTTCCGGCCAGGAAGAGCCGGGAGCTCTTTTGGCTGATCTGGGTCCTGGTGGCCCGGGTGGTCCGGGTGGCTCGGCCGGAATGGCCGGCGCCTCTCCCCTCTCACCATGGGAGTCGGGCCTGGCCGGGCCTGGGTCCCCCTCGGGGGAGGACATCTCGCGTGCGCCCTTCTGCGTATGCTGCACCGGTCCTCCCCGGGCCGGCGAGTCGCCGGTGCCCATTGCACCGGTGTCCGGCTCGGGCCCCGGTTCTCGGTCACGGTCTCCCTCGCTGTTGGGGCCCCCCCTGGCCCCGGGGCCGCCCATCTGGTCCCTCTGCACTTCGACCATCACCCACCTGGCACACATGACGGTCAAGGGCGAGGTCTGGCGGAGTCCGGCCGTCGCAGCCAACAGTGGGCTTGGCGGCGGGCTCGGTGGCGGCCATGGTGCCTCCCGCTCTGCCGATCGCCAGTCCAAGTCCTCGCGCTTTGGCCGGTCCCAGCCAACCGACATCCCCTGGTCCGGAACCAACACCTGGGGTGGCTGGGGCGGTGAGATTGTCGAGCCCAAGTTCCAACTCCTCACGGACTGCGGTACGCTCGGGACTCCCCCTGCCGAATGTCCCTTTCGCGCAAGCATCCACACGCGCAAGAGCACACGAAAGCAACTCACCCTCATGGACGTTCTTCCTCGACTCTGTTCCCGGGGGCATGGCCAGATCTTGCCCTGATCACCTTCAACTTCACAGCCCTTGAGGCTCCCTGCCGGTCGGCGAAGTGGTCGCGCGAGGCGACCGGCGCCGACTCGCCGCCCTTGACCAAGTTCGCCCTGAGCCTGATGCTACCAGCCCCGGCGGCTCGGCAATCCACCGGGCACCCGACCCCCGGGGCTCTCGGTGCTCCTTCGGGCGGGGCTTCCCCTCACTATATCCAAAATATTTTGCCCTACTACTCTCTGATTGTCGACCGGACGGTCGGCATCATTCGCGACTTCTGTGCTCGCCGTCACCTGGTGCGTGCATGCGTGCGCGCTGGTACTCGCGCCTGGACACTTTTTTTTTGAAAACTATTCTCGCTCCCCCCTCACTTCTCCTCTCTCTTACCATTCCGTCCTTCTTTACCCCCACCTTCAACCATCCCTCCCTCTTCCTCTCTCCCTCTCTCTCTCCCCCTCTGCGGCTAGCTGCAACATGTCAACTCCATCCAGACCCTGACCGCGCCACTGGTGGAGCTGATGCACGATCTGGATGTGCTTTTCGCGCGCCAGGTCCGCCCCCCGCAGCCAGTGGTCCCAATGCCCTCGCCCCACCGCTGGGCCGAGCTGCATCTGGAGGACACGGTCTTTGGCCCGGCTTCTGACAAGGTGGAATCCGGCGAGCGATGCCGCTTCAGCGGGATCTTTTTCATGCAGTGCGTCTTTCGGACACCCTCCTGTTTTTGTCTCCACATGCGCACACACACACACGCGCGCAAGATACCCCCCCCCCGCCTCCCGCTGACCTTTCCCCACCTCTCAGTGCCCTGACCGCCTTCTTGGCGACCCATGAGCGTGCCATTGTCATTGGTGATAATGTGGATCAAATTAATTGCGTACGTTTGTGCCCTGGTCCCCTCCGGCCCTCTCGACCTTCCGCCTTTCGGGGTGCCTCTACCCCCCTCCCCCCCCCTCCCCCCCCCTCGACACTTACACACCTGTCACGGTGCAGATGATCAAATCACTCTTGATCTTCGCTTCGACAACGGCGCGGAAAAAATCCCACCTGGCCTTGCCGGAGCCGATGTTCCTCTTCCCCGGCCGGGCTGCTTCGCCGACCTTCCCCGGGAATCTCCTAGGCCGGGTGATCACGGATGCCTGTCTGCAGGGTGTTCTCGTTCAATCCTCACATCCGATTGGGGCATCACCGGTGGATGATTGGGTTCTCCTGCAGTCGCGTCTGCCGTGCGCTTTGATCGATGTACGCCAGGCCGGGGCCGTGGTGCAAATGGTCTCCCTGCGCCACTATGTCCCAGCGCGAAATGAGCTGCTCATCAGTGCCCGGCGAACCATGTCCTCGATGAACTTCAGCTCCCCGGACATGGCGCAGTTCCTTGGCAATGATGGGTCCCTGTACAAGGGCCGCTGGCATGGGGAGACACCGGCCGCCGGGACCGGCCCCCTCGGCCCCCCGGGCGGAGGCGCCAGCACCAGCACTGGTGTCGGCAATAGCGGCAGCGGCGGCGGCGGCGGCGGCGGCGGCGGCGGCGGCGGCGGCGGTAGTGGTGGTAGCAGTGCCAACGTCGGCAGCGCGCCCAGCAGCAGCAGCAGCAACAACCCCATCCCGTCTGACGGGCCGGGACTCGCCGGAGCGCGCTTCCTTGCCGCGGCCGAGTTCGACTTCGGCTTGCAGGTCTCCACGGCTGAGGCCCAACGCGCGGTCAAGGATGGCCGGGTCAGCATGCTCGTTTATCACTTGGTCCGGGAATTGGCCCCCTCGAGTGGGGGGCTCGGTCGCTTGGGCCCCGCTGCTGGCTTCGGAACGCCGGCTGGGCTTGGGCCCGGGGCGTCCGGTGGCGCGGGAGGCACTTCCGGAGCCCCGGGCGATTCGCCAGGGCCACGATCCGTCAGCAGCGACCCATCGACGGCCGCAGGGCCGACTGTCAGCCGGACCTCCAGTGCTGGCCCGCCGGGTGGAAGTGGTCCTAGTGGCTCCTCCCGCAGTGGATCCGGTGGGGTTCCCCTGTTAAGTTGGATGCCGCTGCCATTGGCCGGTCCGATCCCGGCGCACATGCGTCTTGCCTATGCCCGGCAATGGCGCCGGCAGGTCATTTCCCGGCGGGCCACCCTGTGGATGTTTCACATTGAGCGCCAGCTGAAGCTCGGGGTCCGGCCGACGCCGCAATTGGCCGAATCGGTGACCCGCGAATTGCAGCTGAACTGGGGCCCGGCTCCCTATGCCGGGGCCCTGCCACACTTGGACATCAGCTCCATGGACACCTTCTACGGGGTGCGCATGGGAACCGGGGCTGATGTCGGGGCGACGATCCCCCTGGCCGCCGGGCCGCGATCCCCCCCGGCACACCCGCTCATCCACATGAACAAGCACCTGCGCGATGCGGTGGTCCTGTCTCGGGGTGGGCACCCGACCGGAGGCATGGCCGCCAGCATGGCCGGGTCCGGCCCGGGGCTCCTTCCCCGAGGGGCCGGGGCCAGTGGCGTCGGTGGCCCCGGCAGCAAGGCCGACCCCGGTTCCGGCTCGATGGTCCATGGGGTCGAGGGGCCCGGCGGGCTTGGGGGCCGAGGGCTTCTGGCCACCGGCCCCGGTGGGGCTCTGGGCACCGGCGGCCCCGACCCCATGGCCGGAGCTCGGACCAGCTCGGGAGTCACTGGGGCCGGGCCGGGCCTCGGCCCCACCCCGGCCAGTGCCCTGTCCAGTCGGCGTGCCCGGGCCGAAGCCTCATCCAGTCCCACCACCGGTGCCAGCCCGGGGATTGCGGAAATCCCCTCGATGAGTCCCTTCTTCGATGGGAGCGCCGCCGTGCTGTCCAGCGCTGGGGTGCCCCCTGTGGCGACATCCAGCTCCCATGTGTCGGAGCATGGACCGGGCCTGGTGACGGTCCCTCCGTCGCCGGAAACCCCGTCCGTCGGGGGACTAGGCTTCTTCGCTCGGGAAACGCCTCCGCTGGTGGCGATGGCCGATGCCTCCGGCATCGGCGACGGCGGCGGCGGCGGCAGCCTGGGCGGGTCGCTCATGAGCCCGCACTCGCCCTTGGCGCCTGGCTTCCCTGCCGGCGGCTTGGCCGGGGAGCCGGGCTCCGTACGGGGATCTTTGCACACCCCCGGTCCGGGGTCCTCTCCCCGGCGGTCTTCCACTGCCAGTACCACCTCGATGCTGGACTGGGCTGGGGATGGTCTGGTGCCGGGGCATCCAGCCACCGGGCCCAAGCCCCCGCCCGATCGCCGGGCCTACCATGTCTCCCACCATCTGGCCAAGCACATGGAGCAGCTGGCCCTCAGTGCGGGGGTGGACCTGACTTGCACGGAAACGGCCGGGGCCTTTGGCTTGGCCACTCTGGGGCAGCTGGGAGCCCCGGCTCCGGGGGCCGGGGGGGGGTATCCCCCCCCGGCGCGAGTGTCCGACCTGGATGCCGACTTCGACTCGGCCACGCACCGGATCATCCTGTCGGAGGTGGAGCGCCTCCGACCGGGCTTCATCGAGGAGCTCTTCCTCTATTCGGCCGGGGACATGCCTTTCGACTTGAGGCACCACCATGCGCCGGGGAGTCGGTCAGCCAGTGCCACCGGCCCCGGGGCCAAGACCCCGAGTCGGGCCGGTGTTCTCGGCCACCACCGGAGTCTCGGTGCCGTGGAGGATACCAACGAGGGGGTGGCTGCCAGCGATCCGAATCCGTTGACGCTTGGCTTTTGAGGATGCCCTCGCGTGGTGGAGCATATTCCCGGGTCCCTGTTTCCACATATGTCCCTTTGCAAGCAGATGCACACATCTTGAAAAACCCCTTGTGCATGCGCCATGACGTTGGTGTGCTCTCGTGTATTCTGCATATGCCTCACCTCTGCTGTCGGGAAAGTGGCCGAGGGGGGCGGGGGCGGGGGCGGGGAGTCCGGTCGGACAGGGAATGAAAGAATGTACCGCCGTGGG